GTCTGTGTTACCTTTTCATCAAAGCTCTAGAAAAAGAGCGGGCATAGCAATAAACAAGGACGGGAAGATTGCTATTTTAAATTGCGAGGAGAAAATCCTGTATATTGGTAACGTATGTGTGGAGCTGAGTTCCTCTAAAGTTGACAAAAGTCTTTCTCTCAGCGAATTTTCTATCACAATCGTTTGGATGAATTCGAGCATATTGTTCTCAGATTTTAATGGAACAAAAATAATTGCCGCAGATTACTATACCGTTTATATCTACACAGAGAACGGGCAGTTAGAACGCAAAATTAAGATACCCGAAGAACGTGGATTTATTGTTTCGGTTGCAATAAATCACGTCACAAATAATATTCTAGTTAAAACGTGTCAGTCATCAGGATGTGGTTGGCTGAGTTTCTCAGAAACTGGAGAACTAACAAACAGTTTATGTTTGGGGTCTAGCGAATGGATTAGACGTGCTGTGCTAACTTCTCACCCAAATGGCCTAGTTGCTTTAGTTGGTAAAACAGGAGCAGCTTTACTTCAACTGTAGTAAAATCACTCAACATGAATGAAAATGATGAAAAATGAGCTGAACTTATTATATGAACAAACTCATGCGTGGTAAAACGCAGTGAAGTTTAACTTTTTTTTAACGATAATTTTATCATTTTCGTTGTTGTGTGGACACTAACACAATTTTTTTGCCAATTATCGCGTGTTTACAATTTATCGTATTGTTATCGTTGTGTAGTGTGACCGGGCCTCAACACGCTATAAATACACTACCTTTTACAAAACACTATAACTTAACAAAATATTGAATAAAATGTTTGAAATTATACATTGAGAGGACTAGAAAATCGCCTACAGTTCAACAGAGTAACAATAAATTCACACACTGAAACAAAACGCTGTCGTGACGATCTTTCAGCGGTCGAAATTTGTAGCAGTTGAGCTGGCGACAATCAAAAATTGCAATAATTGTGAAAAACAACACCAATTGGAACCATAATTATTATATTATTTGGAAACTTTGGAAATTGGAATTTATCGAAAACCTTAACACAATTTCCAACGTTTAAGTAACACAAATAAAGTTTGCAGACCAAATTAAAAAAATTGATCATATAAATACAAAAATTTGAAAAGATATAACAGAAATTCAAATGCACAATTTGTAGGTGTAGGGTGAGGCACCGATTTCAAAATCTTTTAGAAGTAAATTGTGAACTGCATGTAGAATAAAAAGTCAGACAGACAACAAAGAAAACAGTACTATGCCACACTTGTTTGCATACAGATAACAAACTGTTAAACTACAGCAAATGAAGTCAAATTAGTGTTGTCCCACCCTGTGATCTTCGTGCATGCTCAATAGAAAGTCGTTTGTTTGCTCACAGTGGTTTCTCCTCAGCTCCGAAACCACTGCCAGCAGAGTAGACGTATTTCAACGTGGCTACGGAATAAATATACTTTATATTTTAATTTAACAACAAACATTTATATTTGAAAGTGACCACTGGGAACTGTCTGCAGTTTAAGATTCTAGATTCTTATAATTTTAATATATTTGTTATGAATATCATCTTAATTAATGGATGAAAGTTCATGAGAAGGGCGGAAGGCTGTTGTGTACTGGAACATATTGCTTAGATTTTTACTACATTTTACTACATTGTAAGAAATCACTACACTCAGACTTTTTAATCCACATACTGTAGTTGTTAAATGAGTTGTCTTCATATATAACTGGAGTGGTATTTTCAGCAGTAGCTAATACACTAACTAGATGAAACAATTATCTCAAACTCATTAATAATTCATGAGTAAATTAGCCAACCATGTTGCTTTATTTTGCTCAAATGATAATACTGGCTACCTGATGAAGTACATTGATCCAGTCCTAGGACTGGATCAAAATTAATTCAGTCCTTGCATGGACTGGATCCAAACTAATTAAGTAGTGATTTATTCGTATGAGATGTCATTTCAAATCCTCCAATTCGGACTGGACTAGATTTCAAGTCCTTGCATTTTGATCCAGTCCTCGGCTTCGCCTCGGACTTGATCAAATTGCGCGGGCTTGAAATCTAGTCTAGTCCTCATAGTCAGATTTGAAATATTACATATTAACAACCACATAGAGGATTTCGTCTTAATATCTGCTGTCTGCCTGTCTTTGACCATAATATCAGGCTGTGAGAGCCGCCTGTACCGGTATATTGGAAACTTGTATTACTTGCATGTTGCAAACATCACTAGTTCACTACTTACAGCTTATTATTCAATTAGGTCATTTTTTCTCATTTTCTTCCTTTCTTTCTTTCTCTTTACTTTTTTCTTTTCAGACTTTTCAGTTTCACCCTCCATTTTTTTCTGCCAACCTCAAAAATTTTCTGGGACCAATGGTCCCGCGGTCCGCTATATTATGCAGCCCTGCTTTTTGGCATCTGCAAATTTACGTTATAGGATCTGACTCCCGATGCATGTTATGTAAATTAGTTTTATGGTATATTCCTAAAGGTCTTAAGATTCTCGGTGCACTGAAATTATTTTTTCTATTAGAATGTAGCATAACATTCAGTTTGACAACTTGTTAGTGTTTCACAGTTACAGGGTCCAAGTGTCGATTTACTTGATTATTCACAGAAAATTTTCCAATGAAGTTCTTGCCATCCCAGAAAGTAAAAGATTTTTCCACCCCTGCTTGAACGTTGACAATAACGCTTTGAAGACCACGTTGACAATAACGCATTGACAATAACACTTTGGAATTAATAGTCAAGAATTCGTCTTAATAGTTCATTAGTGTATTTATAGTTCACAAGTATTGTGGCAATAGAGGAAATCAAAGTATTACTGCAACATTTTTTATGTTAATCCAATTTTTGTGGTGACTCGTTTTTCGGAGGCTTCGTTCAAGTCGTTCTTAAAATTAATCTATCGCGTGGAATACATTAAAGCGTTGAATAGTTACTCACCCAAGTGACACATCAGAACCGCCATTTTTTGAGGTCTGTGATGCCTTGTCAAATGGACACAGCTTATATGTATATCTAAATAACATAAGAAAAAAACATCTTGTTAATATGTAACTTTAGCATGCATTCTTCACACGACACAATTCTCCGGGACAGGAAAAAATAGTTTTCTTCCTGGGAGCACAACCTGCATGGAGACAAAAATTTTCTGCAGACAAACGGAGTATTTTTGTGCTAAATCTGCTTGTGCATAAACTTTCTAGCTGACCATGGTTTTAAATTCAAGGAATAATGTCTGTCAACCATATGTTGTTGCGCCCATAGTGGGACATGGGTCTTAAGGTTTGCTTTAAATTTTAAATAGCAAATCTTTATTCAAACGAATTTCCTGCAGCTGTTTAACATTTCCTGCGAGTAGTGCTCGCCTATTTTTTCCACCCCTGCAATTCTCCACACTACAGTATGCCGTTTTAGTTATTTTGCGTATTGAACTCGTTTAAAATATTGTTTTAACAACTGAATATTCGTTTAAGGTATATAAAATCTGGAATATGCATGGGCGCCAGTTTAGGTAGCGAAGAGTACAATCTGATAGCGTCTGTGTATGATACAAATACCTGAAAAATATAGAACAAACTCCAACGTTTCGAGCAGAGGCCCTTCGTCTGGAAATTAGGGAGCACAACTTGTGCACGTTGAAGTTTATTCTCCTTCGCTTGTTTGTAAGTTAATTAAAGACGTTGATATACAGTATGTATAGGTGAGGGTATATACTATTATACTATTTATTCAACCATTGCGTTTGGAGATTAAAATTAGGCCAAAAGAAATATGTGGGTTTCCGGTTTCCCGACCCTACCTAGCATTTGGACGCCGAAATCCCGACCCTAAACTTTTTTATTGGATAATGCTTGTAATTGTTTACCTACCTAAGTTTTTACAAGAAGAAATAGGAGACCCAATACATATAAAGAGATTTAGATTTGACTTCCATGCAAGTCCAATCTCAATCTCGTTCCTCGAGCCTGCGATCCTTGGGAAGGAACGCGAGGCTCTGGGATGTCGTGAATTGCCTCCTATATTCACAACAACTCACTAAAGTAGAGATTTCAAACGCTTTTATGAAAAATATATTTATTCTCGCCCCGTCTCAACACAATCACACAAATTCTTGCAATGTACAAACCGCATGCTTTTTGATTAACACTTGCGCATTAATTAACTTCAGGTATGCCATAAACTGTTAAATATTAAATATTGACATCTCCAACACTCTCCCCCCCCCCATTTATCTACTATTTGAGATAAATGTCGTCCAATACATCTGGACATTGACCAATGATACAACTGTACTAAATGTCAACCTTAGTATATTTCTAAATCGTTCTGACTGTTCACAGTTCAGTGTCCAAATGTTCACTTGAAATTAAGTCTATTGTTCATCCTCCGCGATCTCCTGAACACTCAATTTGGCCGCTACAGCAGCATCCCGCTTCGGTCTAAATGTCTCCGCTTTCGGGTTGAGTATTGCCGGTACTGGTTCTTTCTTGTCCACCGAGAGCTCTAGTGGGTACAAATGCTTCACGGCACGCTCAATTTGAGACTTTTCTGTACGTACTTTGGCTCCCCTGATTTTTCCATCTTTTCCCACAATCAGTGCTTCGACAATTCCTAACGGCCAACGACCACGTTTTCTCTCGTCTGTTGCAATAATTGTTAAGCAAAAAAAACCCTTAGGTATTACAATTGATAACGAACTAAGGTGGACTGAACACATTAATGAGCAATGCAAAAAACTTTCGAGTGCAATAGCTCTGCTTAGAAAGGCAAAACCACACGTACCTTACAACGACTTACTCCGTATTTACAATTCCCTGGTAGTTCCTTACTTTACATACTGTTCGACAGTTTGGAACGATGGAAACAAAACGAATTTGGAAAAACTTTATAAATTACAAAAGCGAGCCGCTCGTATAATTACTGGATTAAACTATGAAACAAGATCAAAAACAATCCTCCAGAGTCTAGGTTGGAATCCAATAGACAACATTCTTAAAAAAAGAGAATTTCTAATTACGTTTAAGGCTATCCGAGGTATAGCGCCGGAGTGCATCTGTAATATGTTCTCCTACTGTGATAATAGAAGTCACCACATGCGGAGCAACGGGCGGAAACTACGATAAACCTAATAGATCATTTATGAAAAAGTCATTTTCATATCGAGGAGCTTCCGCCTGGAACTCATTACCTAACGAAATCTTAGACGTTCACGAACAGTTGACGATTCATTCTTTTAAAACTAAGCTCAACAATCACCTACGTTGATAAAATATCCAATTGTAAAGACTCCTAGTCAATTACACTATTTTGTAAATACTTATACTATTTTGTAAATATTTATTTTGTACTTTCTTTTATGAAAACAACCCCTTTAAAAGCAGCGTAGGCTGAAGGGTTATTGTTTGTAAATAAGTTTTAATAATAAATAATAATAATAATAATAATCACTACATCTCCTACCGTTGGCACTGCTCCACTACATTGTGCTTTCGAACGATGTCTCTCACGAAGGCTACGCAAATATTCCTGGGTCCACCGTCTCCAAAGCGCTTCTTTGCATTTCATCAAGTGTTTCGCTCGTTTCCTAAGGTCACCGTCCTCAATATTATGTGGTTGCAATTCGGGTAAAATATTACTATTCAGAAACAACATCGAATTTGGCGTTAACACTGGAAATTGCACGTCATCCTCCACGTAAGATAATGGACGGTTATTTAACGCCACCTCGACATCAAGCAATACTTCCTCTAACTCGTTCCTAGCCTGCGAACAGGCTCTCAAGCTGAATTGAGAGCCTGCATCGATGACTAATGAATTTGAATATCTGCGTCTCAAATCGTGACGCGAAATTCTCATTGGTCAGATGCTATAATTTATATGTTTCCGCTGAGCTCTATATATGTCAACTGCTGAAGCACTATGCATAAAAAACACATTAACTGATCAAATTGGTCTTGGCCGTCTTATCTCAAAGCACGAATTGTTCTGTTTTGAGAAAACAGTATTTAAAACATTCGAACTTTTGCTTGAATATCTTATATTTCGAGAAACAGTATAAACTGTACGGTCTAAATTTAGTTTGCACGGTCTAAATTTAGTTTGCACGAAAGTTGTAAACAACACCATATAAGGATAGACATTCCATATTTGGAAAAACGAACGTTACGGGGCAGATATTCAAATTCATTAATCATCGATGCAGGCTCTCAATTCAGCTTGAGAGCCTGTTCGCAGGCTAACTCGTTCCATCGCAGGAAACCGTTTCCAATGGTCTTGTTTAACGCTGCTTTCACGAGCCCAATCATCCTTTCGAATTGCCCGCCCCACGTAATCCAATGCAGAACTACCGAGCTGTCCGACCAACATTGAACTTTCGTAACCGGAAATCCGATCAATGCCTCCTTTACATTTGAAGCCAAGTTGACTGCCATATGCGCCGCTACCAGTTCAAGCATCGGAATCGTTAATCCTCGCTTCGGTAGTCTTGATCTCGCCGCGACTAGGCCTTGGTTGGTCCCCGAATCTTGCTCAACTATGGCATAGACACACGCCGCAACCCCGTTACCGCTCGCATCTCTAAAGGAATGCAGTTGGATGGCTTCAATTGGCTCTTGATAAACTGCCAAAGATCTCTCAGGTTCCACTTGTACTGGAAGTTCACTGTTCCAATTGTTCCACAACATTGCGAGGGTTTCTGAAAGTGGTGCATCCCAGGCGTTCTTGGTGTCACATGCTGCACGGTAGATAAGTTTACCCGTAAATGTTAAAGGAGATACGAAGCCCAAAGGGTCATATATCTTGGCGACCTTTGCCAAGACGCCCCGTTTGGCGAACACCGTCTTTTCAGTGGGCATTGTAACAGCGACTGTATCTCGTTCTTTATTCCACGCAAGTCCGAGCAAGCTACTACACTGTAAATCTGGGAGTGTTACCACAACACCGAAATCGGTGTAAATTCTTGCAGCTGTGTGGACACCGATTTAGTGTTTACTTACACTCATTTTGGTGTTAAAATACACCTTTTCAGTGTTAAATAGATGCAGCTGTGTGAACACCGAATTGGTGTAAATCTACACTACGAGTGTAAAATAACACCTCCGAAGATCTTTTCACACTCTTTTGGTGTAAATAGCTTGCAGCTGTGTGAACACCGATTTGGTGTAAATCTACACTACGAGCGTAAAATAACACCTCCGAAAGTATTTTTACACTGTTTTGGTGTAAATAGCTTGCAGCTGTGTGGACACCGATTTGGTGTAAATCTACACTACGAGCGTAAAATAACACCTCCGAAGATATTTTTACACTGTTTTGGTGTAAATAGCTTGCAGCTGTGTGGACACCGATTTCGTGTAAATCTACACTACGAACGTAAAATAACACCTCCGAAGATATTTTTACACTGTTTTGGTGTAAATAGCTTGCAGCTGTGTGGACACCGATTTCGTGTAAATCTACACTACGAACGTAAAATAACACCTCCGAAGATATTTTTACACTGTTTTGGTGTAAATAGCTTGCAGCTGTGTGGACACCGATTTCGTGTAAATCTACACTACGAGCGTAAAATAACATTTCCGAAGATACTTTTACGCTGTTTTGGTGTAAAGCACCTTGCAGCTGTGTGGATACCAACTGGTGTTAATCTACACTACGAGCGTAAACTAATACCTCCAAAGGTCTTTTTACACTGCATTACGTACTTACTGAATACAGCTGTACTGATATGGTTTGTGATGTAAATGTACATCCAATTGATGTCTAAAGTAGCTATATTCAATATAAACTTAATGTAATGTAAAAATACCTTTTTGTATAAATGCTGCTTAAGATTGTATGTTATTAACTGAATTTAACTGAATTACTAAATTAAAACAATGAAGAGAATAGAAAGTACAAATGTAAATTATATATTTTTAGAGTTTAAAACTATAGTCTATGTTACAGATTTCGATTCAGTTGAATCATTTCAACATAGTTTATATCAGTCGCAATCCAAATTAAAGTTCATATTACCAGTACAGGCGATTTGAAACCAATAGAATCTTT